AATCTGTACAAGTCAAAAATCGATGTATTTAATTCTAAAAAGCTGCCCAATACATATAGACTTTATTTTTCTCAGTGGTTTTTAAAACTCTATACAACTGGCTAAATTAATATTAATAGAATTAACATATGCCTCATGGGGATTATTTATGATATTCGCTAATAAAATGATAATGATGTCTCTAAAGTGGACCAGGGACATATGTAAATCATAGTTATATAAATGGATTTTGAGCTCACACTTAGTCATAAGCTATAAACTAAGAGCAATTTAGTTATTATGATGTGACTTTATTTGATACTTATCTTTATGAAGAGATCACTAAGGATATGAGTGCTGTAGCACAGTGTGGGGAAGAACTAAGACGGTGATGGGCTATCAGATGGAATAGTGTCTGGGTCTTAAGGGCTTGCTTTAAGCCAAGCAACCATCTAAGTGAGGTGTCAGCTAAGTCCACACAGAAGAAGCACACCAATTTGTGTGATCCAAGTATTGTAAATAATAAAATCCAAGACTGGGAGTTTGTATTAGAGCTTAAATTATGAGTGCCCACTTTGCAGAAGGCTATGGATGAAATCCCCAAATACATTTGCAGAGTCTCTACATGGTTTAAGCCTCTGGAGAATCCTCTTTGCTCATTGACCAGGGATGTGAATAGCCTTACTATCAGACAGAGTGCATTTGGAACATGGATCGCTACAGCTGTTGCTAGGTGCCATCCAGGTGGTTCTGACCCATAGTGACCCTGTGCACAACCAAAGAAAACACTGCATGGTCTGAACCATCCTTGCAATTTTTCCTCTGCCTGAGCCCATTGCTACAGCCACGGTGTTCATCCATCTCGCTGAGGGCCTTCCTCCTTATTGCTCCCCCTCCACTTTAGCAAGCATGATGTCCTTCTCCAGGAACTGATTTCTCCTGGCAATATGTCCAAAGTATGTAATATGAAGTCTTGCCATCCTTGCCTCTAAGGAGCACTCTGGCTGTACTTCTTCCAAGACAGTTCCGTTTCTCATTTTAGCAGCCCATAATTCATTGATTCTGCTTCGGTCTTCCTTATTCAATGTCCAACTTTTACATGCATATTAGGCAATGGAAAATAACATGGCTTGGGTCAGGCACACCTTAGTCCTCAAAGTAACATCCTTGCTTTTCAGTACTCTAAAGAGGTCTCATGCAGCAGATTTATCTAACTCAATGTGTCATTTGATCTCTTAACTGCTGTTTCCATGAACATTGATCCAAGCAAGATAAAACCCTAGACAACTTCCATCTCTTCTCCATTTATCATGATGATGCCAATTAGTCTATTTGTGAGGGTTTTGGCCTTTTTTACATTGAGTCATAATCCATACTGTAGGCTTCGGAGCTCGATGTTCATCAGCAAGTGCTTCAAATCCTTTTCACTTTCAGGAAGCCAGGTTGTGTCATCTGCATAGTGTAGGTTGTTATCTCAGATAGTTACAGATGTAGGTCGGTTAAAACCTAACACCTTAGCATTTATAGTCCCTTTTGACCTGTTCATAATTTTTTCTAGTTTTTATTATTTTCGGCTTTGTTTTGGATTAAAGGCTTTCTGTGTTGTTTTTGTTATTGATGTTGGGTTTTTGTTTTCTGCATGATTTTCTTTCTATGAAATACAGGATAGGTAAACCAAGAGGTACAGTAACTACATTGATAGTTACTTAGGGTTATGGCAGTGGAAGTTGGAGAAAACTGGAAACTATAATGAGGACAAAAATGAAGAAAATGTTCTAAAATTGATTGTGGTGGTGACTGCATAACTCTACAATATATCTAAGTGATTGACTTATATGGCATGTGAATTATATGTCAACAAAAGTGTTTAAAAAAACAACAACCCTGAGATGTAAGTGCTTTCATGAGACCAGTGAACAAAAGAAGAAGTTCTTTCTTGTATAGGCACCTCTCCCCAGTGCTCATCAGTCAGTTTATTGACTTGTGATGGCTGGTGTGTGGCAGTGACGATACTGGTATTTCAAGTGCCAGCAAAGTAAAGTATTATAAGTAAAGTATTCCCTAATAAAATGATTAAAAAATAAGTAAAGTATTATAATGAACTTTTCAAAGACCTGGAGTTACAAAACCAAAAGGGAAGAACATGGTTGGCATTTATCTGCAATAACTAAAGCAAAATAATAATATAATAATGATCCAAGCCTTGGGTTGCAATATTAATTCTGTGGGCAAATATTGAAGGATTAAGGGGAAAGGAAGGAATACACAGAATCGCTGAACTAAAAATAACTGGTCAACATTCATTCAGTTTAGATTGTAGCATATGGTCAAGAACCAATGATGCTGAAGGAAGAAGCTCAAGTGTATCCAAGGCATTGGTGAAAAACAAGCTTCGGGAATGGAATTTTTAGCCACTGAAATGTTTCAACAAACTGATGCAGGTCTGGAGGGGCTCATTCGTCTAGGCCAAGAAATTTCTAAGACAGTTACCTGGGTACCTAACTAAGAGAGATTCCTATTTGTGTATCCTACAGAGAAAGGTGATCCAACAGAATGAGGCAGGTGAAGACTAATATCATATGCAAGTAAAATTTTTCTGAAGGTAGTTAAAAACAATTTCAGTGCTCCATCAACAGGCAATTGCCACAAATTCCACCCTGATTTAAAAGTGGACATGAAATGCTGGATATTACTGTTGACAGCAAATGGGTCTTGACTGAAAGCAGGGTCTACCAGAAAGATGTTATACCTGTGTTTTATTGACTATGCAAAAGCTTATCTATGTGGATATTAACAAATTATAGATAATATTCCCAAAGTTGGGAATTCCCGAACACTTAAGTGTGCTCATGTGGAAGCTGTACATAGACAAAGAGACAATCATGTGACCAGCTCAAGGAGATACTCTGTGCTTTAAAATCAAGAAAGGCATGCCTCAGGGTTGGATGCTTTCTCCAGATTGATTCAGTATATATGTTTGTCACATCGTCTGAGAAACTGGACTAGATGAAGGAGAATGTGCCATCAGGGTTGTGAAAAGACTCAGTAACTTGTGATATGCAGATGACACAACTTGCTTGCTGACAGTTTTGAGAAGGACTTGAATCACCATGCACTGCCCGAAGAAGGAACAGATCTGTCTTGGAAGAAGTACAGCCAGGGTTCTCATGAGAAGGAGAAGGTGGTGAGACTTTGTCTCACATACTCTGGACATGTTATTTCTGCCTAATGAAAGTAAAATGACTTTTATTCTATTTTTCTGCTGCAAGTAGATTTATCAGTAACTATGAAGGTGACAACGATAGGTGTCTTTCCGTGTGTGGACAGCTAGTCCTCCTCGGTTTACCCATTTGCTTGTTGGCTAACCAACCAAAGTTTTGATAGTGTCCCTTGGTAGGTGAGATGGGATATCTGATTGGCAGAATATTGACACCCCTAAGATGTCCATGTACAATTCCCAGAACCTGTGTAGATTGTCAATTTACAAGTGTGCTGAAGTTGATGACTTTGAAGAGTGGAGATTATCCTAGATTATTAAAGTGGGCCCAGTCTAAGCAGGGTCCTTGCAAGTGCTAAGGGATTCAGGCTGATGGCTTTGACTAATTGAGTCAGAAGAAATGAGCCCCGCTGCTACCCAGAACTGTAAGATAATAAAGGATCACTGATTGAAATAATGACATTTGTTGACATTTGTCAAAGCAGTCATAGCAATCTCTTAGAGAGTGAAATACAGAGTGAACCTCTGCGATACTGCACAGGTCAGTGGTTCTTGCTGGAGACACCTGAAACTCTGTCTCATGCAGAATGACCCTAGTATTGCTCTTAGGGTTGAGACACGCACATTAATGCCCTGTTTTCACATATTCCTACCCCATCATATTCTCCTGTCCACCCTCCTCAAAACACCCCACCTAGTTACTGGGGTGCACACTCTCTTTTTTTTAGTCATTTTATTGGGGGCTCATACAACTCTTATCATAATCCATCCATACATCAATTGTATAAAGTACATTTGTACATTCATTACCCTCATCATTGTCAAAACATTTGCTCTCGATGTAAGCCCCTGGCATCAGCTCCTCATTTTTCCTCCTACCTTCCTACCTCCTCCGCTTCCTCCTCCCTCATGAACCCTTGATAATTTATAAATTATTATTTTGTCAAATCTTACACTCTCTGATGTCTCCTTTCACCCACTTTTCTGTTGTCCATCACCCAGGGAGGAGGTTATATGTGGATCCTTGTAATCTGTTTCCCCTCTCTACCCCACCCTCTCTCCACCCTCCCGGTATCACCACTCTCACCACTGGTCCTGAAGGAGTCATCTATACTGGATTCCTGTGTTTCCAGTTCCTATCTGTACCAGTGTACATCCTCTGGGATAGCCAGTTTTGTAAGGTAGAATTGGGACCATGACAGTGGGGATGGAGGAAGCATTTAGGAACTAGAGGAAAGTTGTATTTTTCATCGTTGCTACACTGCACCCTTCCTTAAGGGGATGTCCAGCTGCCTTCAGATGAGCTTTGGGTCCCCACTACGCACTCCACCTCATTCACAATTATATGATTTTTTGTTCTTTGATGCCTGATACCTGATCCCTTCGACACCTCGTAATCACACAGGCTGGTGGGAGTACACTCTCTTATCTATTAACTTTCATCCTCAGCCTACTGCATTTACGACGAGAGCTCAGATGAAGCATTGCTAACTTTTGTAAGGGAAGCAGAGTTGACAGTGTTCTGAGTGTTGTTCTGAACACTGTGCTGCCTGACTCAATTAGTCTTCTGCCCATGTGGGAAAGCAATCTGTGGCCTCCCCAGTGGACAGACAAACTAAGGCACAGATGTGGGGGCATTGCGTGGGGGCAGCATAGTTCAGTCCACCTCCCTCATCATCTTCAGTTCACTGAGCAGACCTGGTACTTTCATCACCTGTCTTATCACACACCTTGCAGTTAGGCTTGCTCTTTCTAGGTACACAGTTACATTTTGATAGTAATAGAAAATTAAAACCGGTTGTGGTGAGTGTTCAGATCTATTTTAATCTTAAGATCTAGCTCTGAATGATCCAAAGGGAGTTTGATGGGAAGTGTTTCTGGCAAGGCTAAAAAATCCTGTGAAAGGTGTCTATTTCTTCCCTGTTTCCCCATACACCATTTTCTTTTTTGTGGTTTCTTTATGATAGATATTCCTCTAGTGACTGGAAAGTTCTAGTTTTTTAGAAGAAGTTAGCTTACCTTAAAATGGTAAATTCATAATTACCATTGTTTCTAGATTCTCCAACATAGATAAGTCTAATTCATTATTGAGTTTAATTATTTAAAACTTTTTTTGAACTTTGCTTTTAATTCTGTCTCAAAGCTGGGATACAGGAAAGCAACAGACTGGACTCATTTAGTTCATATGTGGGGCCCTGATTGCTCTCAATGGACATAATGTGAACAGAAATGCTGCCTGTGTGTCACTGTGGGTGGGGAGAGCAGGAGACTACTGCAGCCACCTGGGTTACAGACCTTCATTATTCAGTGTGTGTCTTCTGTACATTATGAGCGAGGGATAACACAGAGCTTGTAATGTGGTGGGATACAGCCAAACCCGATCACAGTGGGATTGAGATCAATGTCCTTTGGATTAACAAGAGACTTCAAATTAAAATGCTGCAAAATGGCGGACAAGAAGAGGAACAGTTCCATACGAGCCAGGCCTTCTCCGACACATACTCGTTTTCCTGGAAGTGACAAGAGTACTGATCAGACACAGAGAGTATTCCAGAGAGAGGACTCTGCCAAAAACCAGAAAGTGGAGGAAGCAGGCAGAAAACTTAAATTTGGTCCATTAAAGGGAGTAGACAGTGCATTTGCACACATTCAGAACAAGGAAATCAGTAATATTGACTTATTGGGGAATAACCTTCCTACAATTGCAACTATCCTGAACACAGTGGGGAAGCCCATGTTAACTTAGCAAAATCGCCTCTGCTGAGCAACCGGGGTGTTTCCCAATGATTCCCTAGGATGTTCTCCAGGAAAGAAGTGGGCCCCCTTTAGTCAGAAAGTAACTTTCTAATCTGGGTGTCACATTAACGCTATCAGATTCATTCAATGATCTTCCTTTGTACCGATAACTGAGGAAGGGTCCTGGGAATGAAACCAAGGGAGAGACCACTGAATCTTATTCCAGGGAACACTGATGCTTTTGGTGATGAGTCCAAATAGTCAAAGTTTACATTGTGCTTAGTAATTAAAAGAAAAAACTATGGATAACTAGGAAATGTCATTTTGAAAGCTTTGTGCTACATTCTGTTCAAGTAGAAATGGAGTTTTAGCACAGGTATAAAGAGTTCACTATATGGAGAAAATCATTTATCTGTAATACTTCCTTATCAGAACTTGTATGTGAAAAAACATCATTTAGCTTCTCTTGATAGATAACAACACACTGGGGTCATGTTGCAAATAAAAACAAGGGGCATGATGGAGCTAAGAAGCTGATGCTTGCCTGGGGTTATGAGAGTCCAATTGAAGTGGAAATGAGAAATGTAGGAGACAATTTCATTGAGGGAAGGTGAAATATCTGAACTCTTCTTACCTGCAGAGAATGCTTTGAAGTAGTCACTGTATTTGAATTTTCCATTCTCATTCAGAAAATGCTCTGGTTTAAATGTGTATGGATCAGGGAATTCGTGGGCATCAAACAAGACAGAGTCCAGAGTTGGAATAACTACAGTGCCCTAGAAAAAAGCCCCCATACAGAAGGTTATTTTGAATTATTGATTATCACGCAGGAAAGCATATTTCTAATTGAGGAAGTTGTTTAGCTAAGTGCTACAAAAAAGATATAGCTAACTGAGATGATAGGTCCTAATCTCAAAGGGTTAACTCCAGGGTTCCCCTTCACCCTGCGACCTGGTATAGAGCATGCTGCAATCCCAAACACAAGCTGAGGAGCTACTGTTCTATATTTCTCCCTTAATGTGGTCACCAGGTCCATGGTGGGTGGAGATAGGGGGAGGAGTGTGTGGCTATGAATTCTCTCCCCAGGCAGCCTAGCTGATAGACTAGTGCTTATGGTGTGGACTCCAGGCTGTACATCTGACCTTGGGGATGACATATCCTCTGAATATTGTGTCCTGAGTGGTTTCATGGGGTAGGTTGGAGGGCACAAGGTTGATGAATCGCTGGATTTCATGCACCACAGCATCCATGTAGGGCATCTGTAGTCTATCCTTGACAGCAGGAATTCTGCTTGGCCCAATCACCCTGTCAATTTCTTCATGAAGTTTCTCTGCCAAGATATTAACAGAATAAATTAACAGATTGAGCTAGGCTGGCAGGCCATTCACCCAGGCATCTGCCTGTCCATCAAATAATCCATCGAGTCGCTCTTCAACCATCCATCTGTTTAGTAATGTACCGATCCATCCACCTGCCCACTCACTTATTTATCCATCCATAACCCACCCATCCATTCATCAATCTGGACAAAAATCCACCCATATATCCACCCACCCAATTACACACCTCATCATCCACCCAACAGAATTTAATGGAATGCCTAATCAGTACTTCATGGTGTCCTTTTTCCAATATAGATCAATCTATTTCCAATTTGAATCATTGGGTAAGCTTTCCATAAGCATCTTAAAAACAAACAAACAGAAACCTCATTGTCAATAAGCCAATGCAAACTCCTAGTGACCCGTAGGATAGGGTAGGACTTCTCCTGTTGGTTTCTACTCTTTATGGGAGTAGAAACCCTTATCTTTCTCCCAAGTAGCAGCTGGTAGTTTCAAACTGCTGGCCTTGCATATCACAGCCCAATGCCTAAACACTACACCACCAGGGAATCAATAAGAGCTGAATTCTTATTTATGGTCTACAAAGTATTTGAGCTTTCTTATCTTAGCTCATTGTGGCTAACCCAATTCTTCTCCTTATCTTATGAACAGAAAATAACAGAGTATCTTGCCAATTTCTTTTGGAAGGAATGCTTTGTATTGATTATTGTTTCAGGCTGCTTTACTTTATGCTTCTAACAAGTAGGAAGGAGAATGACAGAATGGGATAGGACATGTATCAACTTTTTGAAGAACTTCTAGGAAGCAGCGGCCTGGAAATGTCTCTTTCCCTGATGGATTATAGAAACTTAGGGGAGGTTACTTAAGATTTAGGTTTAAATTTTCCCATGGGCCTTTATAATATGGTGATTGAAAAAAACTACAAAAAGATATGGACAATATGGTAGCCAAGTAAAAACATAAAACAATGCAATAATACGAGTTGCATGCAGATAAGAAGTGTTACCTATATGAAGTTGTGCATGAGAGTAGCATACACCAGCCGGACAGTGATGTCTCCGGGGAGAGACATTAAGAAGGGGTTGGGTTGTCTGCACTCTATTTTCTTTGGAATTGTTCTGACAGAAATATGGCAATAAGTATTTTATCTTTTTATTCAATGTTGGAGATGTCTCATAATTAATAATAATTTTTAAAAGTCAGGATAACCCAAGATAGCAGCTTAGTCACACATACCATGCCTACAGCACTTACAGCAAACAACTGAGATGGCAGTCTGTAACCCAGAACAGCTAACGGAGGGACGAAGAAGTAAATGGAACACCAAAATGAAAGGAAAAATCTAATAAAAGCAGTGAAGGAAAATGTGGGGGGCCTGTATGCTCCCAACCAGCTTGCCCAGCACAGCGAGGCCACCTTGAGGACCAGTGAGCAGTGTTTCCAGGTGAGGAACACAGGGAGTCGGTTTCACAGAATCCCCAACAGAAGACAGAGAGATCGTGTAGAATAAGCCAAGGTGAAGCAAGGTGAACAGAATAGATCTAAGGACGGTGGGCAGGAGCTCTAGGAATCCAGGTGATCATATAGCCGGGAGGGAGTGCGAAAACAGGGACAGAACTCACTAGCAGTGACCCCTGATCATTTGAGCAGGTGGCACTGGCAAAGCAGAGGCTCCTTGGAGTGGAAGTTAGAGGTCCTCCACCTGACTGAACTCTGGAGAGGCTCCCCACCCCCCTCCCCACGCACATACGCCATGCTAGGTTGGATTCAGGTCCTAACCACTGGCTGAATTCTGCAGGGAGTGACCTGGCACTCATCCCAGAGACTGGGGGGGCATGGTCCACTCTTCCTCCCAGGGACCAAAGGTGAGACCCGTACCCATGCGCAGGCCAGAGATCCGTGGCATGCTTTCCCATAATGTTGGATATGCTCTAACCTTCATAATGCCGCGACCCTTTAATACAGTTCCTCATGTGGTGGTGACCCGCCAACCATAATATAATTTTCATTGCTACTTTATAACTGTCATTTTGCTACTGTTATGAATTGGGTGACCCCTGTGAAAGGGTTGTTTGACCCCTAAAGGCGACCCGCAGGTTGAGAACCACTGCTCTAGAGATTTGCATTCACCTTGCCCACCCCAAACCCATAATGCCCTATGTGTGCACTTGTGGCTCCAGACTGGTGACCAGAGGCATGAGACAACCCCATACTCCATTGCTCTGCACATCTGTAAACTGGAGATATGCGGTGCATACCACCACCTTAGTGACTGATGATCTGTGTAGCCTCACCCCAACTATTCAGCAACCAGTAGTGCACTCAACCCTGCGAATAGCAAGAAAGGTCCTGGCGCCCATGCCTGATGACCATCTGGAGCGACATCTGAGGCAGACTAGCGAAAGAAACTCCATTTTTGTAAGCTGATAAGTAACTTGCCCGTCCTCCCTCCCATCTCAGAAAGTTGACTGCTAGTTGACCTGCCCGTTATCCCTCCCCTTATGGGAAAGTCTTTGCGGGTTATTAATTTTAAAATGTACTCCCATGTTCCCAGGTTCTGGACTCTACCATTCGTTTTGATTATTCTTCAATATATCATTTGTTGTGATTCAATATATTGTTCCCTTGAATGTTGTAATCCGAATGGTGTAGTTAATCTTGTCATGATAACTAGGATGCTACAATATAATTCTGTTATGGAACCCAGGATGTTATCATCAATTTTGGTATTGTTTCTTTTATGATAAGAAATACACCTTATAATGCATGCTTACTCTTCTTGAAGTTACAATTAATCCATTAATTTTGCTTTCTCCTTCTGTTCATGCTTGCTTGAACCCTAGACAGGTGATAAATGAGTTTTTCGGCCTTAAAGATGAACTGAGATGTGGACTCGGGACTGCAATCAAAGAATTGCTTTATGATTCTAGCAGTCCGGTTATAACAGAATAAAGACTCTTCCAAATTATCAAGAGGTTATAGTGGCTGTCATTTAGTTGAACCCACAACACACCAATTCATGAGCAATGCCAGGCAGATTATTACAGGTGGCATCTGCATCTTTGCCAAACAATGAGTGGAGATGCTAGTGCCCTCATTCCATAGCCACTTGTCTACATTGCCCATGCCCCACACCCAAGCAATTTTTCAAGCTGTCTGTTATTGCACAACCCCCTGATAACCCACCATCTACTAAGAGGCCAACTGATGCCTGCACACTGGGCTTGCTCTGTCCTTTTTGGTGGCATTACCTCCCAATGGATATGGAAATATTCTATCCTCATCTCTGAAGAATGCATTAACTGATAGCACCAATCTGGAAGGATCTCATGCTCTCACAAGGGATATAGAGGGATCTGACCACCTAACATCCGTCACCTAATATTAAGAAAGAACCTACTTCCACCTACACCTCTACTCTATCTGGTAAGGGACAGCATAGAGGGAAAACCACAGAGACTCACACATGCGTGTGACCCCCAGTATCCACTAGTGAGAGGAAACCACGTCAGCCAACAGACATCACCAAAGTCACATAGCACACAAGACCAGAGCCACAAAGCAACAAGAATTCAAACAATAAAAATAAAGACTCTAAAAAGCAAGAGAAGAAATATTACTTGAGATATATCAAAACAAACAAAAAAACTCAGCACAAAATAGAGATCAATACAATTAGTCAAACACCTTAAAGTCTTCAAGACAAAAGACAATAACAAATCATATGAAGAAACTAGATAATATGGCTTAAAGTTGAGTTAAACAAACAGGGCAAAACCCTTTCTGAGGAAGAAATGGAAAGAGAACCACCTGATAAGAAATTCTAAATAAGCCCCTTAAAGAGATCAAGGAAAACACAGACAAAGCCCTAGACTAATTTGTGCAATACAGAAAGGTTTTTCCTTAGGTTGTCCCCCCATAATATATGCCAAACCTAAAAACACATGGTCATTGACTACACACTTTGGAGGTCAATTGCTTAGAGGTTATCTCCCTGAGGGTATCAGCCATCTAGAGCAATCATATTCTATAGTCTGTCCCACCTTAAGTAGTGCCCACTCCCTGCTGATAAGGTTAGTGGGTTGCTCCCCTTAAGGAGAGCAAAGACAAGGTCAAGCCAACTCAAGGAGAACCAAGATTAGGCTGCCATCTTGAATCTAGGATCTGCCCATCTTGTCACTGGTGTACCCCTAGCTCGTCCTCTTCCTGTCATGTGTATGCCTATTGTACAACCCCTTTCTGTTATGATGTAATCAGGGGGGCATGATTGGAAATACATTTTCTCTCTCTGTGTGGACCTGGCTGCTGAGATCATGGCCATCTGGGAGGTGAGCAATTGTATTCTTTATCTTGTCTGATGTCTCTTAATTTTACCCCTCAATTACACAACCACCCCTTGGACCCATTTGATTGTGGGGGCTGGTGCCCAACACTGATGTAGGAAAATGACACAAAGACAAAATGACTGAATAATCGCATCATTGAAAACCATACAAAAATAATGCCCAAAAGTCCAAAAGACAAAAATAAAATCCCAGAAATCTAGAATTCAATGGAAGGACTTAGCAGTAGAATTGAATCAATGGAAGAGTCAAAAGGCAGCAAAACTGCCTTGGTCATAATCTGTTTGAGTGTCGTACACCCGACCTAAGCTTTGGCATATTCCGTTTCCTCACACATGTCTGAAAATGGGACGACGACGAAGACTGAAAAAGGGTGGCGGCACTGGATTGGGGGTTGGCGAAGAATGCTGAAAGGACCGTGACTGCTGGAAGAGCAAACAAGCCTGCCTGAGGTGCAACCAGAATGCTCCTCGGAAAGGACGATGGCAAGACTTTGGCTCGTGTGCTTTGGACATCTTATCAGGAGAGCTCAGTCCCGGGAGGAGGACACTATGCTTGGTAAAGTGGAAGGGCAGCAAAAAAAAAAAAAAAAGGAGAAGAATACTCTTAACAAAATGCATTGACACAGGGACTGCGGCCACTCTTGGAAGACACTTTTCAACCAAATAATAGATTGGCCTATAAAATAAACAAGAACGCCTGTGAAAATGTGCTCATTAGAACAATCAACTATTTGAGACCGAAGGGAAACCTTTGGCCAGACGCAAAGATGAGAGGCAGGAGGGCAGGGAAACAGGAGGATGGACACAGGGCTGCGGCATGGGTGGACATGGGGAGAGTGCTGATGCATTGCAGCGCTGTCACATCGGGACCACAGAGCCATTTTTGTACGAGTCGTTCAACGGGACACTCATTTGCTATGTAAACTTTCACCTCAAATAAAATGCTAAAAACTTTTGTTGCAGGGCAGCCAAAGGCTCTCCTGCCACAAACCCATACGATGTCTCCCTCTGTGGACCTCCAGACACCTGCTCTCGGTCTGGTTCCAGCTGTGCCCTCTGCCTCCAGCCTGCCTCCTTACTTAGGACAATGGGGACACGTTTCCACTGTCACAAGTAGTTCACGTCATAGAGAAGAACTTACTGTTTGCTTGTTTTTGCGCTAAGCTGTGTTGTTGGACCTTTGACGGGGAGGGGCGGGCACTTTTCTTTATTGCAATGAGGGTTTGGAATGTGGGCACGCCCACAGGGTGTTTCTCTGGTGAAAAATATTCAAGGTGACTCATCCCTTGACCCATGATCACAGATCTGGCCTGGTGCTGGCGACTCCCCATTCCAATGACTCGAGGGCACAGTGCTGGGGTGACATTAGCCTACCTTCAATTTCAGGGTACTTCATGAGGATAAGGAGCCCATATCTCAGGGTGGTGCTAGTGGTCTCTGTCCCAGCAAAAAACAAGTCGGCCACGGTCACAGCAGCGTCCTCCAGTGTGTGCCCGAGCTCCGCACTCTGATTTTCCTGTGGTGTCACAGACAGACAGGGCTAGCTTCACGTGGGCTCATAAAGGAAATCTCTCCCCTCAGCAAATGAAAATGTGCCAGCCCCCTACCTCTACAGAGAAAGAAGCTGTGTTTACTAAGCAGTCATGGAGGCCAGTTGGCAACTGTTGCTTGATAAGACTATGAGGTTAACCATGGTTCAGAGTTAGGAGAGATGTTATTTTCTGCCTTACATTTGGGGAAACAGAAGCTCTCAGGAAACTGGTCTTGGGCAGGACTTGGCTCCAGCCCAGGGTGCCATGTGCTCTCCTATCACGGCTCTACATAGCAGCTACTGGGGCCCTCTGGCCTGCATGGGACAGCTGCAGGCTCCCTCCTGTCCAGGCTCAGAGGTGAACTAGTTTCTGGGACCACCAGGAGCTCAGGGGCTGGTGGACTAGGCACTTGCCCATTTGTTTAATTTGTAGGGGTGGCTGTATTGTGAGCCCTTGGCTGGCAGCCCCTTTGGTGCAAGCCCAAGACCCCTTCAAACTGCCCCCAACGTGGGATCTACGTGCTGATGAGGAACGCTGACAGCACCCATGGCAAGACACGGCTGGTCAAAGTCGTTGGTTCAGAAATGACCCAGAGCATGGCCCGGATAGAGCTGCGTGAAGAGCCCAGGGGGCTGCTCTCGGCTGGCTGTTGGCAGTTGGTGGTGGTGCAGTGTCTGAAGCTGCACAGAGGATGTGCCTGGTTGGTGTGTGGCAGCAAGCTTCACCCCACTGCAGCTGACCGTGCTGGGGTATGACCAAGAGCATCAGACTGTGGCCAGGACCCCAGAGTTGCAGATGTGAAATGAGCAGAAATAGGCTTGTGAGGACCTGCAGCCCTGGGCCTCATCTGGGGTGCTGACCCAGGTATGCTGCTATGTGGGGTGGGGGGCACCTTTTCCATCTCGATGAGAAGGCAGTCAGTGAAATTCCGGGGATGGCTGGGGTCCAGCGAAGCATGCTGCTCCTTCACTTGCTCTAATGCGTACTGCTTGATTTCAGACACATTCTTCAAGACCTTCCTGTGACTCCCAGGCAAGTAGTGCACGTAGCAGGATAAATTGTTGTAGAGCTAGAGGGGCAGGGGTGGGGGTGGGGGGAGGCAGAGTTATTTTACAAGGTGTTGTTTTTTTTTCCGGAGGGGAGAAGCGAAACCTAATCTTGTGTTCTGAGATGACACCTGCCTGGATGAGCATTGTGGCCATTTCATTTAGCATATGTACTTGGGAGGGAGGGTCATTTGGAACTGCTGCCAGGAATGACTGTGGGGAACAGAAGGAATTCTCTTCAGTTGTCTCCCCAAAATATGTACCAAACTTAGCTGCTTAAGAGTGACTCTCGGCAAAAGTAGGTCAGAGGTTATTCTCCTTGACATTGGCCATCTGTAGTGGCTAGACCATTAGTCTGACTCACCCTGAATAAGACCCACTCCCTTCTGATAAGGATAATGGTGGTCTATTCACTTGCAGAGATACCAGAGAGGGCAAACCCGCCCAAGGGTGACCAAGGTTAGTTAGCCATTATCAGCTGTTTAGATCAAGCAGATACCACTGTCTATTCCACAACCAATGTGGGCACACCCCTAGGTGATTCCTCTCCTATTGATTGTATTGCCTATGCTAATATCCCTCCTGATGACTCAGGCTATTGTCCACTATCAGGGAACTTGCATGCTTCCCAGAATGGTAATGGTCTGCTTTATTATGTGAGACATTAGAGCGATCAAACTTGTTCTAGAATGAATTGTATTGCCCCTTTCTGTGATGTATGATTACGATACGTGGTTAGCAATAAATAACGAGGCTCCCTGGTACTCGGGAGGGTGGCCAGAGGGTGACTAAGGAGGACGAAGCAGCGGCTTCTTCTCTGACGGCTAAGCCCCCTCCACGAGAACCATCAAGCCGGGCTGAGGTGAGATATGCTACCATGAATTGCGTCTGACTCCATTACTTGACTCTATCCTTTAACTCTCATGCTCTCTATGACTTTGCTATAATCTCTACTTATTATCGCTGTACAATTGCGCCTACCAAACCTGTGATGTTTTGTGGGGTTCCCTCTTACCCTTAACCCCACAAATGACATTCTCTGGTGGACACAGGAACATTGTGGTCAGTTCCTGCTCATCTAACAATCTCTCAGGGACACTACTATGACAAATCCCATAATGAGCTTAGCAAAGGGACTGTCACAAGCTTAGCAAAGGGACTGCCTCCATAAGGAATGTTGGGGCTCTTTGGTCAGACACCCTGTCAGGCTCCCATCTCAGTACTTCTAGACTTCCCCCATCGCCAACAGCCTGGTTCCTAAGAGCCCCCCTTCTATTGTAAAATACTCTATCAGTGCTCAGAGCAGATTAAAGGAAAGGAGAGGCTGCACCTGGAGCCAGGAGGTACTCAGCAAGTAGAAGTTCTCATTGAACAAGTTCATCAGCCTTAGGCATGTCTTGTCACTGTAGTCAAAGTGCTTGCTGAAAAGGATGTCAGCAATGACGTTGCAGGGCCCACCACCGAGGACGAAGGTGGGGTCAAAGGGCTGACCTGGAAGATATGCACACAGGGATGGGCTCTGTCAGCTGTTCATGTGACGGCCATGGGGAATGCCCTCATGCCTCCAGACCTGGTCTCTTGCCACTTACTGATCAATGGCTGTTCTTATTGTCTGTTGGTGAGAAGACACTGAAGATGATACTGGCTCATGTAAGAGAAGGGCTTTATGTAGAACACAGAAGTTAGTGCACCCTTGATAACCACACCTTCGTTACATGAAACGTAGACTAAGAAATTCAAGATGGAAAATAAGATCTCTGCGGTCCACAGAATGCTCTGCATGCATGGACCCCGGGACCGTCCACTGCTTCAGATATTGCAGGTGCTGTCTGGGGAGGCCCACCCCCTTTCTGAGAACTGCACCCCATCCCAGGTGGATAAGCCTCTCCTCGTGAATAGGTCTTCTGTTTCTAGTGGGCTAGGCCCTCCCCTGCATGTAGACACACGGTTCCAGGCAAGGTGGGGCTGAGTCCCTTGCTCTCTGCTCCCTGACCTGGTGACACACACACACCTTGAGTTTTCCTGAGTTCCTCCAGCAGAAAATGGGCCTCCTTCTGGATCCGCTGCTCATTGCCCACCTTCCCCATCCCGTAGTCCCTCAGGGTGGTCAGGGAAAAGCGCCGGGTGTCTTTCCAGGTAGGCCCGTTGTTGAAAATGATTCCTAAATGAAGAAGAGACAGCAGGAAGTCGGTTGCCTCAAACTCAGTTCTGGGAGAAATGGGGACGTTGGAGTGAGACGTGGAGGGAAAACCAGCCCGGCAAAAGATGGCATGAGGTGTGCTGGGGTGGGGCTGGACCACTTTGCCTGGACCTCCAGCTTGACAGGAAGGAGGGACCTGGAGACCTCCTCCTGTGGCATCCCAGAGGAGGATGCTTAGGAAGGGTGGGATCACCAGGTGGAGAGGCCCTGAGGGGTGAGGAGTAGGCCAAGGGGGAAACTCCTGAAAGTGAAGCGAAGAAACAGGCAGAGGCGGGTGGCGAGGAGGTGGAAAGGGCCTGAGAATGTGCACAGGTTTATTGGAAAGGGGGGGAGGCAGGATGAGACAGGAAGGCTGGCTTCTGGCTGTGCAGGTTTCCTTCGCAGCTTCACTTGGGTTTACAGAAATGGCGCAGCCCCTAGCACAGAACACATGGCCTGTGCCCAGTATTGTACTGACCATCCACCTCCACATCCTCATCCCAGAAGTAATGCACCCCATGCCCAGGCCCCAGAGGTCTAGGTCTGGGCTGTGCTCAGTGTCAGTATTGGGCACCTGAGCCCATCCTGTGGATACCTAGCCCCACCTGGCTACAGTCAGGGGTCACCGTTTCAGATGCTTGGTGACAGATAAAGTTCCCTGGACCCAGGTCTTCTCCCCTCATGGGCTCCCCCTCCATTAAGGTTCCTCGTGTTTAGTGATTAGGAGATGTTAATTTTGCCCTTGGCAAACCTCAGAGAAGTGGAGCAAATTTGTAACACCCAAGAAGAAAACAAACACCACTGATGTAGACACATGGTGATGATAGAAATGTATCACTCACCCATGAGAAAATTCTACCTGGAAGACAAAGAGTTTCTAGAGATTTACAATCAAAATTGACTCAGAAAGAACCTGAGATTTTCCGTGAACTGGGTGGATCCAGCATTTGTGTTTGTTTCTAATCTGCTTTGAAATCTCAGTACAGCCCCCAAAGGGAAAGCTGGCCAGTAGGGAGGGAGGGGAAAGCAACAGAGTGGCATATCAGAGCAGGGGGGGGTAATTGGGGGGTAACAAGGAGGGGCAGCAGGGGGGAGGTGGGGGCAGTTGGTTTTTCATCAAGAGTGACTGAGAGGCATCCCTCACTGGGCTGATACGGAGAGGGACATTGAAGTTGGGTTGGTGAAATCTCTGAGGAAGCTCAATTGGACCCAGAGGCCCACCCTCTCCTCCAGGGTGTGTTCTGGGCTAGCTGAGCTCAGGCAGGAAGCAGAGAGTGCCAGCACAGAGGAGAGAGCAGTGCTGGACTATCTGGGCATTCTGAGCTGGGGTCTGGTCCCTGGTCCCCTTCCTGGGCTCAGAACCTCCTCCGGGAGACTTCCAGTGCTTGAGCTCCTGAGAAAATGAGCAGCAACTGAGAAGAACCCTTGTGCTTGCAGCTCTGCAGGGAGGGAGCTCAGCCTTTGCAGTAGGAGGCACCTGGGTTCCCGCAACTCCAAGGACCCTGAGCCCTTGACACTCTCCCTCATTCACTCCACTGACCCCCACCAGGGCCCAGGACTCCGAATGCAGCAGCAGGACCCAGAGCCATCACCCCACCCACTGTCAGCCCTGCCTGTCTCGGCACAAAGTATCAGATTTGCCTCCTCCTCCGGTCCTCAGATTGGGCACTCACTCCATCTTGGCAGCAGCCCTGGAGGGAGGTGCCCGTTACTCTGGCAGCCCTGGGCTGGGGATGGACAGAGGGCTGGAAAGAGGAGGGGGCGAGGCTGGGTCCTTGAGGTCTCGCTGGAAAACATTTCCTATCTTGCTGACCCCAGGTGGGCGCCCAGAGATGCGGAAGACCCCCTTTGCTTGTTGCTAGCACTGCGGACACGTCTCACAGAGCTGCGTTCTTGACTCTGCAGACTGGCCAATGAGTGCGGGCGGCTCCCCTGACTGTGGCTGCTGTTGGAGGCCGCAGCCATCCGCGGACACAGGCCGAAGGCGATTGGGCTTCACTTACTCACTGGTGCCCGGGCCACAGGCCATCCCCCCTGACCGGAGCTGCACCTCTGGTCTGAGGGCTTTCCCCTTGGTCTTGTGCTCCATCTTCTCCGCAGCGGCTGCTGATTATGGCCAGCCAATGTCTTGGAGCCCCGATAGCGCGCCACGTGGGCTCGGAGGGAGACTCACCGCGGTCCTTGTGGGGGTGGAAGGCGGGAATCTCTCCGCGGCCGGAAAACTGGTTCTTGTGCTGGAGCAGGACCTCGCGGACGGCTTTGTAGCCGTGGACGACCACCACGCGTCGGGGGCCAAAGTACAGTGTGAACACCGGCCCGTAGCGCTCGGCAAGCTGGGGACACAGGACAGCTTGGGCCTCTGCGGGTGTCTTAAACACATACCCTCACCCAGTGACGGCCGCCTGCCACCGCCACCGAGGGAACCGAGCAGATTCCTAGCGACCCTATGGGGCAGGGCAGAAGTGCCCCTGTGGCTTTCTGAGACCCTAACTCTTTCGTGCAGGAGAGAGCCAGTCTTTCCTCGTGGAGCAGTTGGTAGTTTAGAGCTGCGGACCTAGCAGTGAGCAGCTCAAAGTGCAGCCCACCACTCTCGGGCTCCTCAGAGAACCCAGCTGGGTGGGGAGCGCCCTGTCTTTGTCCTGCCCACTAACGAGGGGCTTGGCTCTGCAGGGTGCACAGCGAGTGCAGGGGCCTGGAGCATGTAGGCCCCACTGCCCCTCGGATTCTTCCCGTGTGGGCCCAGGGGCAGCCAAGCCAGACAAGGGGCCTCACTCTGGTCAAGCCCTACTGGGACTGCTCCCCACCCCCACAACGAAACTGCTAAAAAACGGTGTCATTTCTTTTGCTCTTGTAATACATTTTAAAACACTTAATTAGAAAATTTTATCCATGCGGAAGAAATCTTTTAAGAAAAGTTCATTGCTATCAAGTCGACGCAGACTCACAGCAGCCCAATAAGACAGGGAAGAAATGCTCTTTGGGTTTCCTAGACGTTCAAATGCTAAATAGCCTCGTATTTCTACCGAGACTGGCTGGTAGTGCCCAGACAGACTTGCTGTGCTAACGGGTCAGTGCATAGCCCATTCCACACCAGAGTTCCTGCAAAAAATCTTAGGGGCTTCCAAAGAGTTCATGGAAACATGGAATGAAAAGATAATGGAGTTTTTATCACCCACTTGTTGAAGCCCTCTCATCTTGTCTGATGCTGAGAGAGTGGCATCTGAGAAGGCGAAGGGTGCACACACTTGCCCCTCCCCTGTTGCTATGACTGGCACCTGGGGCTATGGTCTGGCACACTTGACCTGTAGCTTTATTTTATAGTCACAGTTGGACAGGATTCTATGGAATGACTTCTCAGGTAGAAACTACTAGAAGCTCCACCTCTGCTGCTCTATAGCATCCTGGACTTATCACACTTCCCAAGAGCCTGTGTGAAGCTCAGGGCCTCACCTGGCCATGCTTCCCTCCTGCCCAGCCTGGACACAAGCAACTCCAGAGACCCTGAATCCTCGACACCCTCCCTCATCCACTCCACTGACACCCACCAAGGCCCAGGACTCCGGATACAGCAGCAGGACCTGGAGCCATCACCCCCACCTACTATCAGCCCTGCCTGTCTCAGCACAAAGTACTTCTCACACCCCACACTGAGCAGACCCTCACTAACTCAGTCCTTAGATTGGACACTTATTCCATCTTCGCAGCAGCCTTGAAGGGAGGTGCTGTGTTCCTCTGTCAGCCCCTGGATTTATCAAACACTTGGGAACCCTAGCCACTCCCAAGCTGAATCCAACAACAGGGACACACACACCCCTGCCCCCAGGGTTATGCCACCACCACAATTTTTCCTAAACACTAGGTGTCTATTTGTCTTGCAAGTTAAATACTTGACCATCACCCTGGGCCCTACTATATTAGTGTAACTAATTCATAATGGTGTGGCATTGAACAACAACAATTTGGTTGACAGCTACACACACACACACACACACACACACACACACAATCTAATTTCTAAATTGTTCCCAAACTAATATGTTTCTCTTACCCTGGTGAAGGATTTAGGAATGTTCTTCAATTCTATCTGGAGAATATTCCCAATGATGGGGAGTGGGAAAGGGCCAGGGGGTAGCTTCCAGCTGCTGTAGATATGCTTCCAGATGGTGACAAACAGGAGTGTGGCCAACCACATGAGCAGGGCAACAGTGATCCCTAGGGCAGCCATGACGCCAACCTGCAGAAAGAGCATGTGGAAAGGCAAAACTTTTATACTGTGTGGACGAGAAGGAGGGTGGCTCTCCCACCAATGAGTTGGATCTTCTCCTTTGACTAAGAGATGAGTTGATTATTAGCCGACGCTGGCCGTCATTTCAAAGGGCACTTGCTAGAGCGGCTGCCTGTTAGACCTCGTAGTGACCTCCCACAAGTTGTGGTTCTGTCAACACCCATATCTGCTGGCACAGACCCCAATGCCAGTAACCATGGCATGCAGGGGAGCTCTACCACCATAGGCCAGAAGTTGGGGTGGGGACGTGATTCCCCTTTGCACTCGGTGGGCAAGCCAAGTGAAGGTTGTCTGGGGTGGGATTTCTGTAAGGCAGCATCAAATGCGCACTGAAAGTCTAGCAGATGCTGACTCTGCTGCTGCAAAGTCCCTTAAAGTCCATCAGGCTTGTCTGGGCTACTCCCAAGAGCCACTCATCAGTTTGACGGGGCCAGGGGAAGAGGGTTCACACTCATTCCACACAGTCACATCAGCGGATACACTCAGCCGGAGGAAAAGTTAATCTCTGATCATAAAAGAAGTATTGGAGCAGGAGCCCTAGGGGCATAGTGGCTTGCTAAACGTGTTGGGCTACTAACAGTCCGAACCCTCCAGCAGCTCTAAGGGAGCAAGACAAGAGTGTCTGCCTCTGTAAAGATTGACAGCCTCAGAAACCCAAAGGGGCAGTTTTACTCTGTCCTGTAGGATCACTATGAGTCTGAATTAACTTGATGTCAATGGGACTGTTTTTTTGGCTTCTGTATTGCAGCAAAGTTTTGTATACTATTAAAATTAAGTTTGTGTGTGTCTGTGTGTATTGAATGAATTCCTCAGAAGTATGTGTTTTAAATCTTTAAATCTATACCTGTGGTTATAATCCTGTGGTATTTACATCTTTTCGTGTCAATTTGAAGATATGTAAAAATGTAGGGGTGGTCTTTCACCTGTCAATCAGGTCACAGCCTGATGGTACCTCCTTGTGGGCATGGCCTTCTCATTAGGGAATGTCTCCCTCCCTCTCTCTGCCTTCTTTTCCCGCTGGCAGACCCTGATTGTGGCCAGATCCACTGCCATTGGATCCACACGACTTTGCACCCATTGGCCTGTGTTCTTCTTGCATTCTGCATCATTGCACCTGGCTGGGTGAGTCTGAAGAAGGACTTACTGGGCTAGTATCAGACTTATGGACTGGTATGGGACTTATGTACTTGAGTTGGACTGGGCTGGGATATTTTCTTGATATACAATTACTTCTTTATATAAAGCTTTCTCTTACACCTATAGTAATATCATTGGATTTGTTTCTCTAGTCAAACTGGCCTAACACAAATCCTAGTTGGGAATGGGTCTTTGTTATGTTGAGGCATGATTTGTTCCAGGCTTTTACAAGATATGAAATGAAAAATCTAGCAGAGAAAGAGGAAGACAGATGTCAAACCACATGAAGATCACCCAGTAACAGCGCAAAGAGACAAGAACCTCCCTTCAAAATTGGCAGAGACAGAAGCCTTTCATTGGAGCTAAAACTCTTAATCTGGACTTCTGGTCTTCAAGACTCAGAAAACAATTTCTCTCCAGGAAAGCCACCCACTTGTGGTATTGCTATTATAACAGCACTATGATTAGATACCAAGATTACAATTTGGAAATGGGAATGGGGTGCTGTGCTAACACATAGCTACAATATGGAATTAGTTTGGGCACTGGATAATAGTTGGAGGCTGGAAGAGTTTTAGTGTCAGAAGAACTAGCACTGCTCTGTCAGTTTGTCACCCTGGTGGCTGTTGAGCTGGTGGCATGCAAATGCCATCAGGACCATCTGTGGTTGACAGGTTTCAGAGACGCTCTCAGAAGAAGACAGGTTAGGAAGGAGGAACTGGTGATCTCTT